AAGTTCATGGATTACTAGATATTTTGAAAAAAACAAATTTCGGCTATTTTAAAAATTGTCCCTAATTCCATTATAAGCTATTTTAGACAAAAAGTTTTCCAATAAAAGTTATAGATAATCACATCCTTAATGAGACTGTGTCCTCCGTTTTTTTCTAAAGCCTGTCACTTTTGACATATGACACAAACATAGGTTTTTTTAAATGGAAACCATAGTTGGCCATGACTTCATAAAAAGCGCCATTTTTTAAGCTTTTTAGTGATATAAGCTATAATATCTTTTCTTCGAAAAATTACTGAGTTATAGCCAATTCTTATCATTTTTAAACAATTTCACTTAGGTAGCCATGGAAACAAGTTCAATCGCCATTGCTCTCAGAAATGTGAAGCTGTCACATCCAAACTTTAAAAATTAAAATAAATAAAAATTGCAAATATGAATTTTTCAAGTGAAGAAAAGCGTGTAGATTATTGGTTCAACTTTTCTTGACCATACATTTTCGAGGATACGTTGACCGGTGAATGTTACGTTTTTGAGAGAACAGTTTTCAAGACATGTTAGAAAAGTTAAATTTAGTTATAGCCAATTCTTATCTTTCTTGACTAATTTCACTTAGATTGCATGGTATTCTTAATCTGTTATGATTTATAACTTATAAAAAGTCAGAATATATTACTAAACTGTTCTTTACAATTTACATTACACAAACTAAAAGTTAAAAAAATAATATCACTACATACACTTTAACTTATTCTAAAAAATGTTTAAAAAATCCGCCATTGTTTTGAGTTGCATGTTTTTAAAACTGAATTACTACCTATTCTCACAGAAAGACCGGTCGACTTAATTAAACTTTTCTCGCACCGCCACTTCGAGTGCCTCTCTTAATTCATAAGTTCTTTTGTAAAGCTTATTGTTAAGTATACCGCATAAAAAAATTCTAAAATGGATAGCTCAGGTGATCGAGGAGGCCCATGCAATTAGTCCACCTCTTCCTATCCCTGCATTTGTATAATTATGATATAAATAATTTTTAACATTTCTTTCATGGGGGGTGGGGGGTGGTGTGTCATAATGGGGGGTGGGGGGTGGTGTGTCATAATGAAAGTCATGTTGGAACCACTCTATTGATGCGCGAGTATCTACACGATTTTCTTCATTTTAAAAATTCATATTTACAATTTTTGTTTATTTTAATTGATGTATGACCCCACAAAACTGCAATTCTTTCCCCATTTAACCGACTCTCTATCTCCAGTAGTTTCCGAGATATACCCATAGAGAACATCGTAGGAAACTCACCCTGTATATATATACTATACTTTTTTTTTGTTTCGTTTCTTTGACCTGTATACTATATATTTTTTTGTTTTCACTCTTGGCTTTAGGTCGTTGGGGTTGCAAAGATGTTTCTAGATTTTGTTCATTATTTTTTTATTTTGTGACGACGTTTCGACAGTATATGTCTTTTTCAAACCTCTTGAACGTAGATTCTTACAGAGTTAAAATTTGTTAAACTGGACAACACAATAACACATATTAACTATTGTTTTTAATTGTTTTTGGACATTACACTTTACTATAGAGCACGTACGTATTTCCTTGCAGATCGCTCTGTATAAAACACATTTATCGTTTCAATACCCGATGTCTATCGGGTATTGAAACGATAAATGTGTTTTATATAACAGATATATATTTATATAACAGACATCGGGTATTGAAATCGATAATTCGATTGAAAAAACGATAAATGTGTTTTATACAGAGCGATCTGCAAGGAAATACGTACGTGCTCTATAGTAAAGTGTAATGTCCAAAAACAATTAAAAACAATAATTAATATGTGTTATTGTGTTGTCCAGTTTAACAAATTTTAACTCTGTAAGAATCTACGTTCAAGAGGCTTGAAAAGACATATACTGTCGAAACGTCGTCACAAATTAAAAAAATAATGAACAAAATCTAGAAACATCTTTGCAACCCCAACGACCTAAAGCCAAGAGTGAAAACAAAAAAATATATACTATACTATATACAGGATCAAGAAAAGTTGAACCAATAATCTACACACTTTTCTTCACTTGAAAAATTCATATTTACAATTTTTATTTATTTTAATTTATAAAGTTTGGATGTGACAGCTTCACATTTCTATAAGAGCAAGAAAAGTTGAACTTGTTTCTATGGCTTTTTTCTTCACTTGAAAATGTATTTAAAATTTTTATTTAGTAATTTAGCTATAGTTTAGTAATTTTTCGAAGAAAAGATATTATAGCTTATATCACTAAAAAGCTTAAAAATGGCGCTTTTATGAAGTCATGGCCAACTATGGTTTCCATTTAAAAACCTATGTTTGTGTCATATGTCAAAAGTGACAGGCTTTAGAAAAAACGGAGGACACAGTCTCATTAAGGATGTGATTATCTATAACTTTTATCTGAAAACTTTTGTCTAAAATAGCTTATAATGGAATTAGGGACAATTTTTAAAATAGCCGTAATTTGTTTTTTTCAAAATATCTAGTAAGCCATGAACTTTTTTAAAAATCTGAAAGGTGCATAATTATGATCCCACAAAACTGCAATTCTTTCCCCATTTAACCGACTCTCTATCTCCAGTAGTTTCCGAGATACCCATAGAGAACATCGTAGGAAACTCACCCTGTATATATATACTATACTATATACAGGGTTGTTCACCACATACGACACGGAGTATTGTAGCTAAACGATTAGATTTTTACAAATTGTAAGTTTTGGGTTCGTTGAAGGACTATTAAAGCTACAATATAAAAATATTTTACAAGATACAGAGTGTCCCAAATAAGTAAAAAATATTATAGTTGTATTTTTTTAAATAGAACAGCCTGTATATTATTCTATTTTTGGATTCTACGATTGAAATAAAGGTGAATTTGATTAAGGTTTATCAAACTTAAACCTTACCGTTTTTGAAATATTCTCAATTTTATGAAATTGCAGAAAAAAATTTAAGGCTTTATTTCTCCAAGGGTATAAAAGTTTTTAATACTAAATATTTACTGAAGATTATTTATTGGTCATATATTGTGTTGCAATAATAAAAATTTTACGACCTAATACAGAGTGTCCAAAATTTTTTATTAAATAATTACTAGCTTTAAACGGCAATAACTGGTTTAATTTAAAAGAAACACCCTATATACTTTACGTGAATTAGATACATAATGTAATTGTCTATCAAATTGTATTGTTCCATTTTTTACCCATCTCTTCAAGTTTTCATAGAAAATGTATTTTCTTATAGTTTAGACCTCATTTATCACTATACCTATGGAATATTGACATTTTAGCTTATTTTCAAAGATGTAACAAATTTTCAAAGGGTACATATACTAATATTGTTGATATAGTTCGCTTATTTAATTAAAAAATAAAAAAAAACTGTCTAAATATTTTTTGTTAAAGAGGACCAATTAATATGATCCCGGTATTCAAACTACATTAATTGCCTGTTTACGTTGTAGTAATAATTGTTCCATATACAAAAAAACTGAATTTTGTGTGTGTATTACACAGTGTGGTAAAAAGTAACACCTTATAGATTTTATTTCATTTATTGACGAATGCTTATTTATAAAAACAGAGACATTCATTTTCATAACTTATTATTATATTGATTTCTGAGCCAAATCCACATTTATTTAGAATAATTTATTAATTAAAACAATTTAAAAGTATGTAATTAACTAATTTTTGGTGTTTTTGGTAGGAAATAATGGTGGTATATTTAATGGGTATACTCTTTTACAAAGATTTAAAGTTAGTTTAATTTTAGTTTTTTTGTATGCCAATGGGCATGCAATATTTACCACCTGTACATTTTGTACATATTATGGTGCTATAAAAAAATCTGAAATGTCAATATTCCATGGGTATAGTGATAAATGAGGTCTAAATTATAACAAAATGCAATTTCTACGAAAACTTGAAAAGATGGGTAAAAAATGGTATAATACAATTCGATAGACAATTACATTGTGCATCTGATTCACGTAAAACATATAGGGTGTTCCATTTAAATGAAACAAGTTATTGCCGTTTAAAGCTAGTAATTATTTAATATAAATTTTTGGACACTCTGTATAAGGTAGTAAAATTTTTATTATTGCAACACAATATCTGATCAATAAATAATCTTCAGTAAATATTTAGTATTAAAAACTTTGATACCCTAGGAGAAATAAAGCCTTAAAATTTTTACTGCAATTTCATAAAATTGAAAATATTTCAAAAACGGTAAGGTTTAATAGTGTGATAGACAGTGTGATAAACCTTAATAAAATTTACCTTTATTTCAATCGTAGAATCCAAAAATAGAATAATATACAGGGTGTTCCATTTAAAAAAATACAACTATAATATTTTTTACTTATTTGGGACACTGTATCTTGTAAAAATATTTTTAAATTGTAGCTCTAATAGACCTTCAACAAACCCAAAACTTACAATTTGTAAAAATCTAATCGTTTAGCTACAATACTCCGTGTCGTATGTGGTGAACAACCCTGTATATAATATGTATATTATATAGTCATTCTAGCGAAAAGTTATTCCATTATTTCCCTCGATTTTTGACCGAGATCTACTGCTCGCTACACAACCAACTATTTTATAGTCTTTTTCGATAAATCGCAATAGTGTCACTGTTAATTTAAGTTCTGCCACAAAAATTTCCTTCAAGATTTACTACCTTTAAACAACTATCAGTAGTAGAATAAATAATAAATAACAGAAAACAAGCTCAGTAAAGATTGGCAAATCCACAAAATTTCTAATCAATTTCAAATGTGTCAAATGAATCATCAAACAGAACTGTCAACTATCCCCACCCTAGGGCACTTCCTTAATCTTTTTATTCAAAGTACATATACAGCACTAGAGATCGAAGCCGCAAAGAACTTTAAAGAAAAATTGGGTAATATCTTTCAAGTTAGTATCAATCAAATGAATACTTACTTGCCAAAACCAAACTACTGGTTTACTATTTCTAGTATAATGCCTATAAATTGTATGCTTTTGCCAGTCATCAATGTCGATCTCTTGCATTCCACAAAGCAAAAGCTCCAGTTCCCTCTCATCAAAATATTTCAACCATTCAATTGGCACAACTTCATTGAATCCATCTAAAAATGCTTGAGTTTGCTGTTCTATTCCTCTAGTCATGCGCCAATTTGTCATCAGAGTCAAATACTCTTCCTTATTCTCCTGTGTTACTTTTTCCGAATCGCCATTTTTCTTTAATTCATGATGGACTACTTGCCCTAGCACCTAATAGATATAGGATATGCGTTAAAACAATTCTTAAATGTCAGTATTGGGTGTCCCATTTTAGCTAAAATCATACGGTACCTCCTTTATTAGTGAAGATAGAAGGATGCTGTTTGCACAAACCTGTCCCGCTTTTTTGTCAAACGGAAGATGCTGTAAACAAAATTTTCATAGCCTCCTTCGTTTCTGAGCTAGAAGGTTTTTTTGAAAGTTTTGCAATATAGAACACCCCCGTATCTCTGATATTGTGAAAGATATCGAGTAGGTGAAAACTGTTTATTGTAGAACCATTTCGAAGAATTTGTAGCGTAGTGTGGTGTTTTGTTTATTAATTATTATATAGTTAATATTATTTTTTTATAAATCATATGATCTGACTTGCTATGAGCTTCTCAAAAATATATATCACTCTATATTTATTTTCACTATTTACTGCTATATTTTAACGTTTTCACTAAAGTATTTTATTTTTATTAGTAGGTCCGAGGTTGATAATAAAAGAAGCAAAAGAATTATAAAAAGTATACTACTACCTGTCTCTTATTTTATTTTGGGAATCACTAATAAACTCTTTATACAGGGTGGTCTGAACTGTATTCCGGAAACTTCGGCAACATATTCTGCAGATAAAAATAAATAAAAAAGTTCGTATAAATGTATGTCCTAAAATGCTCGTTTCGTTGAAGTTTAATTTTTATTTTGATTTTTTCCAAATAATTTCTGAAGTAACGTCAATATTTAGATGAAAATAGGTGTCTGGGAGAGAGTTTTTTGATATCAGAAATTTAATTGTGACGTGATGAATATGACTCCTACTCCCTGGGGCGTCCTGGGACATATTTTTCAATGGTTTGAAAGAGTAATAGCGTATTCTTCCGTACCTGTATAAAACTACTGAGTATAAAAATATACATTTACAACGTTTTTGACATAAAAAAAGTCTCTTGGTAATAAATCGCAGCAAATAATTGAAAGTCAGCTGCTTAATATTCCATGGCAGCTCCACTTTTTTACTTGGAAAATGAGATTTTACTTGCGTACATCTTTAAAGAATAGTTCCATTGTTCTTTAAAACGTAATAATTCCATTTGATAGCAAATAAAGGTTGATTTGTTTGTGTCCCAAGTCTTTGTGCCTCAGTTTAAGATTAACAAAAGGGTTTTTGTTTGTCTTGCACTTTAGTCAATACAGAAACTTTATTCAGAGACGTATTATTTTCAAATTAAGGACATTAATAAGTTTCTTAAAATGGAGCTACCTGGTTATTGCAGCCACCCCCTTCAATTGTTCTTGAGATATTTGGAATCAAAATTGTCAATACCTGTCATCATTGACATAAATTATATGTTTATTAATAATTATAAATTATATGTTCTATTTTATTTTTGTTAAATGATGTGTATTGACTGTTCCCATTCGAAATATCTTGACAACTGCTCATTTACGATTTTACCAAGACATTTTTACGTAAAGAATCACGGAAATGTAAACATTTTTTACACACGGACAAAGAAGTTATTACTCTCTCACAACATATTAAGTCTGTAACAGCCGAGTAAACAAAAAACATCGTAAATAAATACGGTAAGTTGGCTCTCCCTCGCTTTTATAGTAAGAGAACTTTTAACTCCCTAGCATCTCCCCAGTTTCCTTACTCCCTCCCACAATATTTTCAAGAATACGGGAAACTACCAGTTTTATGGGATTACCACGCCCACTTCTCTCAGGAGTTCTACCTCCCTGAAACTCAAGAATAGCAAGTTTCTCATGTCAAAAAATCCCAGACACCAATTTTCATCCAGCTGCAATATTGACGTTACTTCAGAAATTATTTGGAAAAAATCGAAATAAAATGAAACTTTAAAACATCCTGCATGTTCCGAAACTAAGCATTTTAGGACATACATTTATACGAACTTTTGACATATTTTTTATGCAGAATATGCTGCTGAAGTTTCCGGAACAAAATCGGACCACCTGGTATATTTGGAACTTAATACTCTACTGCTATTTGTAAATATTGGAATCTATCTTACCGGCATAGTGATGGGCAAAACTGTTATTTTTAGATAACAGTTGAAACTGTTATAGTTATTTATAAAAAACAGCTTAAAATAACAGCTTAAAAATAACAGGTTTCTTTATTTTACTGCTAAATATCTGAAAGAGTATGAGACGGTCATTGCCAGGCGTATTAACGCAGTTGCAAGTTGCAACAATGACGTGCTCGGTGGTAGTATTTCCAGGGTGTCAAAACATTTCTAAATATCGATTGTTATCTAAAATACCTCTCTAAAAAACGGTGGTTATTTACAAATAAGCGCTGTTTACAAATTGCGATATAAAAAAAGCCAAAATTGTCTATAGTATATACCACTCGTACTATATACCTACTCGGCCACTCGTCTATAGTATATACCTACGCCCTGCCCCTCGATCCGCGTAGATCCTGAATTGCGTAGCAGTGTACAGGGTGCATCTCACTCGACGGGCAAGAAGCTCTTAGTTATGATTTTACCATTTGCGGTCAAAAAATAGCAATATAAGAAAATGTATAGTATATTCTTCATAAGTAAACCAACTACACACTAGAGTTCGAATTAATTTTACACTTAAACTAGCGTGTACCCGCGACTTCGTTCGCGTCGAATTAATAATTTCTAATGGTGATGATAAAGCAAAACAAGAATTTCCATTAACATACAAACTGGATAAAATTTTCTCACATTTGCCAAAAATAAGCTTTAAACGTCGAGCAGTTTAAGCAGAATCGTGGTTAATCAATTACTCAACTTTTTGGAACACCCTGTATGATTTTTTTAAAAATTTCAAAATATGAAAAAAAAAAACAAAATAAATTATGCTTGTCAGGCGTTATCCCGAAAGACTAACCGTTTTTTAAATAACAAATATTGTAATATTTGAGGGGCGTTTTCACCCTGTTGGAATTTGAGATTCGAGAAACCCCTCCTTATCGAACCTCAACCCCACAGTCAATCCGTTTGCCAAAAAATCAGCTTTAAACGTCCAGCAGTTTAAGCAAATAGTGATTACTCAATGGTCATATTTTATGAAACACCCTGTATATATTTTTAAAAAATCTTAAAATATGTAAAACAACATATTAAAATATAGGTACGTGTTTAAGAGTTTTTCGAAAAACTCACCCGGTTTTTAAATAAAAAATATTCTAATATTTCAGAGGTTTCACCTTTAGAATTAGAGTTTCGAAAAGTCCCTTCTTATCGAACCTCTACACACTAAAGTCAATCCGTTTTCCAAAAATCAGCTTTTACGTCAAGGGCTTTAAGCAGGATCGTGATTAATCAATGACCAGATTTTTCAAAACACCCTGTATACATTTTTAAAAATCTTAAAAATATTATTCTGAAAATTTTATCAGAATAAAATACCTAAATATTGAAACTTAATAAGTAAGTACTGAAACATACAGCGCCATAATATCTCGACCTCCGTCCGTTATGCTCGTAACAGGTTGAAACAGAATGTATCTAAAACAACTGATGCGTTATTCCCCAATCTGTTTCGAACCTCCATCGACAATCGACCGATGCAGCAGCGTTCCTTTCCCACACCGATTATCTCGTCCGCCGCTCTGTTATGCTTGTAACAGGTTGAAAAAACAACATATCTAAAATGACTGCTTCTCCAACCCGTTGCGAGCCTACATCGACAATCGACCGATGCAGCAGCGTTCCTTTCCCACTCCTGTTATCTCCGACCGCCAGGCGTTATGCCCGCAACTGTTTCAAAAACCTGCTTCTTTTATATCCTATTATTTTTTAAGCTGTTGTAAATACGACCATTGACGGTATCGACCGATGCAGCTACGTTCGCCGTAGCGTAGCGCATCCCCCACTCCGTTGTCCGTTGTCTCGCCGCCTGTATCGATAGTTGACGAAATAACATGTTTTCCATCCATACTAGTTGTTTTTGGAATTGCTTCTAGCAGCATCGAATTTCGTGGTGATGCAGAGCGCCGACTTCCTTTCACGAGCGGCCGATCTCTACGTGTCGTTATTATATATCTGTTATTTTTTAAAAGTAGTAACGGTTGCGTTATGTTATTTATAAATAATTGTTATAAAATAACAGATAGTTAAATAACAACCCATCACTATACCGGCAGCCACACCTTCATATTTCTTTAGTCGAATTTACGGTGGAATAAAATTTCAATAAGATGGTGCTCCCGCTCACATCATTGACAAAAATTATATGTTGATATATATGATTTTTACCAAGAGACATTTTTTACGTAAAGAATCACGGAAATGTATATTTTTTCACTCACTAGTTTTATACAAGTACGGATAAAAAGTTATTACTCTTCAAAACATTTAAAATACATGTAGGTGACGCCCCCTACAAATAGGAGTTATATTGACATCAAAATCAAATATCTCATGTCAAAAAAATCCCAAACACCAATTTTCATCTAAATATTGACGTTACTTCAGAAATTATTTGGAAAAAAATCAAAATAAAAATGAAACTTCAACACCCTGTATCTCCGAAACTGAGCATTTTAGGACATACATTTATACGAACTTTTTTACATAATTTTATCTGCAGAATATGCTGCCGAAGTTTCCGGAACACAGTTCAGACCACCCGGTATATCAGGGGAACTTAATACTCTACTGCTATTTATAAATCTTGGAATCTATCTTACCGGCACTTGTAGATGATATTTCTTTAGCCAATTTAAGTGAAATATACTTCCAGCAAGATGGTGCTCCCACTCACAACTTTGAAAATATTAGAATTTTTAAACGACTATTTCCTAAATCAATGAATTGGGACCAATGCGATATAGACCCATACGATTTGAGAAAACATAATTTTAGCTCATAAGTACAAAAATATTTTTTTCGTTGAAAAACAGACAACGCCACTGTATTCTACGTAAAAAGTTCTACAAGGTACAGTTTTCACATTCTCGATACCTGTCATATAATAACAATAATTGCAAAGTT